AAATTTTCGCGGAATAAAAATCGCAGGGATAAAGTAAAGAGCGGAATAAAAAGGAGTAAAGGGAGCACACCAAGATTTATACTGGTTCACCACAACGTGTGGCTAGTCCAGTCTCCCGAGAGACTCTCTCGAGCTACACTACTTCCGTTAAGCTTACGGGTGCTTAACAAACCGTTACAACCTGAGAACTCGAGTCCCACGAGCCTCAATACACTTGCTCGGAGATACCACACTCCAAGACTTCAACCCGAAGGAAAATACCTTTCATTCGTACAACCAAGGGAAACAAGCTTCCCTAAACGTGTTTACAACACTAAGAACACTCAAGAACAAGACTCTCTTTAAGAGTAGATGTTGAGTAAACTATATACGCTCAAGAACAACTCAAACTTCACAAATTGGCTCTAGAAAGCTATGGAAAATAATGTTGTTTGGATGCAATGATAATATGAATAAAGTGAAATGAATTGATGAGAAAAGCAGACCCAAACACCCCTTTTTATAGTGCCAAAATAGGCTCCAACGAACCAATACATTAAAGGGGTGATTGGCTTGATTTATGGGATTGAATAAATTTGGGATCTGCAGGATATTGGCTTCCCATCGATGTTTGGACTCACCCATCGCTGGTAAGCACATTTTCCTTCAATTTTAAAGCCAACGGTCACCTACTCATCGATGGGTACAAGCTTCCCATCGCTGGGTGGGAGGTTCACTTCCAAACAAGGAAAGAATCAACCTTAAATGACTTCCAACTTGTGTTGATGTTCGACCAAGGCTTTAACAGTGATGGGTAAAACTTCCCATCGCTGTTTGGCATGGTTCTGGAACTTGGTTAGGCTGAAGGATCTCCTACCCATCGATGGGAAGGTCTTCCCATCGCTGGGTGGGTGGTTAGCCAAAAACCCGTGGTTTTTGCCTTAACCACGGCCTAGCCAACCGATGCAAAAACCGACCGAAAAATCCAAAGTTCTCCAAAGTAAAAACCAAGTGTTTAAAACACTTATATGATGAATTTAGCTAAGAAATCAAGTGAGACACTTTAAAAACCACGTCATTTGAGTAAAAACCACGGCTAGCCAAGTTTACGCCGTTTTGCGTGGTTTTTGCCAAACGACCAAAAACGAAAGGTGGTTTTAAAGTGTTTTTGTTGGAGAACCGTTTAAACATGCCAAAGAGTGAAAAACAATCAAAGAATGTTGAAAACCACTTGGTTGGTTCGGACGCCAAAAACCAAAGCCGATAACCGAAAGCCGAACGCCGGTTTCTGAAAGCCGAACGCCGGATGGCTTGGTTTTTGGTTTGGGCGAACACCAAGTGTGTTTAATGATTTAAACATGTTTGAAAAACATTTTTATGATGTGATAAATGCAATAAAAGGTTTTAGCCTAAAGAGCCAGTGCGTGAAGGTTGGGTTGGTCTTGATCACAAATATGACCGACTCAACGATACTAAAGGTTGCGGTCTTCGTTCTTGGTCCCTTTTAGCTCTTGTTCTTATCTTCGTTCTTCGCCTTGTATATTCAATGCTTGACTTGATCACGGCAGTTTGGCATTATCAAGACCTGTCATAAAAACGAACACGGCTTTAGTACGAAAAATGACAAGCCCGTGTTTCAACAACACTGGCAATCGCAAGATAGATGTAATTGTCCAACACAATAGTCCATCCCTAATTCCAAAGCTGCCTATTGAAGTCAAGAAAGGAGAGATCACTTACATTCCATCTCATCTGAACATGACGGAACTGATACTGGAAGCCCAACAGAGCAATCCGGAGAACTCAACTCAACGTCTAACAGACTCTAGCCTTGATGGATCAGAAGTTGTTGGAACCATTGCCTCCCACTTCTCAGATGATGCACAAACAAAGGAGAGATACAACAATCTCGGGCGCATCAAAGAACAGTGTGGAATTATGCAAGGCATTGGTGAGACTGCCGGATCATCAAAGCGCAGGAAGCAGTGAAGGCTTTTTTCATCAAACCAGGGGGAAGTATGTGAAAACATTATTTGGTTTTGATGAAAACACCTTCTTGTTTAAACATGAGTTTTGGTTTAAACATTGCTTAATATCTCTCTTAATTACGCTTATTTTGCTTGATCATATTCATTTTAAGTGTGATTCTTGAGATTTATCTTTAAGCGCATACATTCAGGGGGAATGTAATTCACACAAGTGTAATTGTTGGTTCATTATTCAACAACCAACTACATAGTAGACTTTGAGGACGTAGAAGGATTACCCCACCTCGTTAAAGTTTGCGTGTCTCTCTTTTTTATCTTTACTCTTACTTGCAATTATATTAACTGTGAAAACTAACTCATCCATATTGATTACTGCTCTAATAACCCACCAACTTCCGCACACAATCTAAGGTTCACAAGAACTCTAGAATAAACACTCATTTTCATGTTTTCAAAAGAAACGAAAAAGTTTTTTAAGTTGTAACAAAGTCTATTCACCCNNNNCCCCCCCCCCCCCCTCTAGACTTTGTAACAAAGTCTATATATATATATATAGGATTGACTCCAGTCAAATGACACATTACGGTGAGATGACATGCTACGGTCAGATGACGCAAAGCTCACCACTGCCAACTACAAAGCTCACCAAGGACAACTACAAAGCTCACCAAATTGTACGGCAAAGCTCACCATATTTTTTTAACACTTTGAATTTTTTTTGAAAAAATAAAATCAAAGAAACGGGTGCTGACTAGACTTTGACTGTTGACCGAGACCTTTGACCGCTGCCTGCCACCGCTGGTCGCTGGAATCCTCCGCCACTACTGGTCGCCTGATCCGCCGACTGCCGCTGCCGGTCACCGGAATCCGCCGCCGGTCGCCGGAATTCGCCGCTGCTCCGCCGCTGGTCGCCAGCAACCACCGCCTTCTACCACTTCTGACCGGTTGTTGACCGGTGTTGCTATTTTGTTTTTCATTAATTTTAAATTTTCAAAATTTAAAAAAGGTGATTTTTGGTGTTCAAAGTGGTAAGCTTTATTCTATTTCTAAGTGAGCTTTGCATCATCTCACCATAAGGCGTCATCTAACTCGAGTCAATCCATATATATATATATATATATATATATATATATATATATATATATATATATATATAGGCACACACGCACATTCTCATTTATAAATACCTAAAGAAAGTAATTTATAATTGATGGGAAATAATGTGTGGCTCGGTCCACATTTTCCAATTATTTACGAAGAACAGTCAGACCGGACTGGTTTATTAAAGGGGGAATAAAAGAATATCCCCCAAAGGTTCTCTAGCATCTCCTATAAAAGGAGAGGTATTCCACCAAGAATGGGGGGAGCCAATTCCCTCTCCCTGTCCACTTCTCTCTCTCTCAAGAAAGCTTTAGTGTGTATATTCTCTTCTTCTTCTTCAAGAGCTCAAATGCTTCATTAATGGCTTTTACGCCTAAATTATGTATCGTGTACAACTCCCCGATATTAGTAAAAAAATTCTCCGTTGGCAAGGTAACGCCAAAAAGGCTCGTGGTTTTCTCCCTATTTGGGTTTCCACCAGTGGCGGATCCACTTGTTTGGAGTATGGGGCAAATGCCCACAACTAATTTTTTGTAGTAAGGATAAAAATATTTTTTTAATAATTTTTTATGTATATATGCCCCCAACAAAAATCAAAGTGAACCCATCTAATTAGGCCAAATTTAAATTTTTTTTGTTTAATTTTTCTTAGTAAAGTGGTTTTTATTGCACATAGTTAATTGTTTATAAAATAAAATTTCACCTTACCTATTTAAAAACATTTTACATTTAATAAATATTTGAGAGAAGAATCATATTTTTTTATCATTTCAAATAGTCCATAAAAGAATTTTGGGGGCGCTGCCCCTGGAACTCCCATCAATGCTGCCCACATCTACTTCAATTCCTGGATCCGCCACTGGTTTTCACATCAAAACTCCATTTTTTATATTTTAGTTTATTTTTTAGATTAGTTTTTCATTTTTGTCCATCTAAAAATGATATATCAATCGATAATTTGCACCATCAATATATGTATATACCAAAATTGAAAACAAATTCTTTCTTTAAAGGGGTCAAGTATAAAAATCAGACAACACTTTTCAATCTCAAAACTATGCTCCCTATTTTATTTTCGAGACAGGAGTATTATTTGATGCAACAGGTTTGTACGACCCGTCAACTTCACATGTCATGTTACATGTTCCGTTAGTGCAATCTTGGGGCCCAGCCATATTACCTGTCAGCGCACCAACTTCTTAGATCTCCAAGAGGGGCTTTAACATAAATTTAATACTCCTCACTCCCTATTTTTATTACAAAATAGGAATTATAATGTTAAATCTCATTAAATTTTTAAACGAATTTATTTCTAATTTGATACCTTAATAAGAAATTAAAATTATATATAAAAACTTTACGTTCAAAATTCTACAAAATGTAAAATAATATTTTAGACTATTAAATAATCAATGAAAACAAACAAATAAACAAAAGTTACCGAGAGGTGAGAAAAATTAAAATTGAGGACAAAGGAAGTATTTCCTTCATTGCTAAAAGTTTACCACAATTTGATTTTTCCAATCAAATTGTGGCACCATTTGACCACAAATTAAATATAGTTTAAAATAATTAAATATTCTAAAAATTTGATATTTTAAAACTATATATTGAAATAAATCTTAGTTTAGTAAATTTACATTATACTCCCTCCGTCCTAAAACTTTCTTCCCGTTGCGCAAAATGAAGAAAAATCCCAAGTTTTTTCAATCTATTTTATTTAAATATTGGTATAGAAATAAAAAATAAAACATACATATTTAAAAACTACATCAAAAGTTCAACAAAACAAGTGGTGACAAGAATATTTTATTTTATCATATAGGCCATGAAAAAACACAAATAAATATAAATTCCTGTGAAGTTGGAATAGTGCTCTGGGAAAAAGTTTTAGGACGGAGGGAGTAACTAAATATAATTTTTCCATAATTCACAGTCACAGGATGTCACCGTTTT